CTTCATCTAACTTTACAGGTAGTTCTAGACTTTCTACAGCACCTATTTGATCAAGGGATGAGTTACATTTGCATAAATACTCCTCAACGTATGTTATCTTCATTGTTATTACTGAAGATAATTCTACGATTGGTACACATTATATGGTTAAGAGATTAATGAAGGGAGTGTTCCAATCAAACCAGCACTACCAAGATATCAAGTGACCTGGGACACCTCCATTGTTTTAAAGTACTTAAAGACATGTTCCGCAGTAGAAGACTTAACCCTACAACAGCATACTCATAAATTGGCACTTCTCTGTACATTAGTCACAGGTATTTTTAGTGTATCTTCTTTGGAAACTGGAAGCTTGTATGCTAACAATAACCACCAAATATTTCTTGCGTAAAGTCAAACTTAAAATTGTAAGATATTGTGTGTTTTAATAATCAAAATTCCCATTAAAATGTGTTATTGTATTTTAAATCTTGACTTAAATCAATCATCTAGTTACAAGTAATCAAATATTGTGTTGGTCAATTTCTGCAAGCAGATAAATATGCTCTCCCATGATCATAGTTATTTAACTAATATGAAATAACTCTACTGTATACTGCAAATACAAAAAGCATTAAAATTCTGGTAGTCATAAATTGTTTAGTCAGAGAAATTAACAACTCATAGATACCGATACCAGAAAACAGAGTGTGCACAAAGGTGGGAACAACTCATTCAAATTACTTTACTATAAATGCATCCTAGTGACAATGTTCCAAATAATGTCAGCTTTTTAACCTAATGTTAACTGCACAAGATGCTGTTGTCGAGTGGTCATTCTGAGGTTCTCAGCCTTGACCACCAACACATTAATCTTGGGAAAAACCAATTGATAAAAATATTGAGTATTTGTATACACTAAAGCATCAAAATTTCAGACGTTTATTACTGGATATTTAATAAGTGTTATTGATGTGATAAAAAGTGAATGCATGGCATCAACTTCGAACAAGAAAACCAATCTGTTCATGTATAATCTCATGCCAACAATGGCAAATTCATATCATAACAATGTTTTCATCATTAATAAAAACTACAGTTCATTCAGTTTTGAATGCCAAATAAGTCTAATGAGCCGAGAGTTATCATCGTGTGAATGAAAGTGACAGGTCCTCCAAAAGTATGACAAAGTTAATTTAGTGGTAAAACTTGTTGACAAATGGTGTACTTCTATCTCAATGTCACAAGAATTATACCTAACTGTACCTATATTTTTTGTCTTGTCCGCATCAACAGAACCAGGTTGAAATTTTTCTTTCTATTAGCAAGAGCCGTATATTATTTAGCAAAATTTTCTCAACCCAAATGTACAATAGATCTTCTTATTTGTCAAACTTCACTCACAAAGCAAACTGCCCTTAGCACATTAAAGCCAGGTTCGTTGGGCTGTGATAATTTTCGGCAAGATTTCATCAATCATTGCATTCGTCATACACATTTCATCTCACGTCTCGTCCATCTTGACATAGTTCAAAAACACAACAGTTAATTTGCTAACAGTTTTTGCAATTGTATTTAATGATTATAATAGAAAATCCTCCTCTTTCCCAGCCAGAGAAGTACCAACTCCACATTGTAAATTTCACTTTTCAAAAACATCGTGCGTTGCGGCTTAAATCGCGGCAATGATTGTTTGCATTTGCAAGTCGCCACTTTACTTAACATACGTTTGGATAACAAAATCTCCTTTTCTTTATCGCATTTCCTTATGATTTCGTGTATTTGACAAAAAAAAGGTCTTTTGCTTAGATCCTGTCGTTTGAATGGTTTAAAACCATGCAATGACGCAATAGATTTAGAATAAACTTTGTCGATGTAACAGTAAATTATATTACTGCATCACTCTTCACTCTTCCATAATCTATGTTCAAAACACTAAAAAATGTGCAACAGTTGGTCAGACGCCTATCTTCGAGAGCTGCGGGGCATGCTTTTTCCAGATTTATCGTGCATTCGCTTATCTCCTGGTTGACAATTTTTTCACTGATTGCTAGAAGCTAGACTTAGCAGCATTTTATGATGACGCACCCTACTCGTTTGACTAAGTTTTGCCCTTAAAGTTTTTACTCCTTTCAATAACTCAAAATCATTTCAAACCTCACTGAATCAATTTACTGTAATCATGCGAACAGCCTTTGTTATGCCTAATTAGGATAAATATCTGCAATTACGTCATGAAGAAATGTAAAAACTCTAGACTCCTTGCATGAAATTTGTGTAAGAGTGGTATCAATTTGCGAAGAAATTAAATTACTAACATGTTTTACATTATTACTACAGCTCATTATAGTAATCATGATGGTAATGCCTAGCGGCAATTTTAAACCAAAAATTGAAGACTTGTTGAAAACTCTATAAGCTATTATGCAAAGCATAGTTGGTACCACAATGGGGACCTCATTTCCAAGGGCGGTGGAACATTGATAATTAGAGGGGACGGCTATTATTCATATGTGCATGTTTTACTTTATTATTTTCTATTGAAATTAATTGTGTTTACGGATTATAACATATAAATATATGATTATACCCCCCCCCCCTATACCAACCAGGGTGTGCATTTTCCAATGCTGTCATTTCCAGCCAATAAGCAGTTTCCTATCTGGCATAGTTTATACGATCGCAAATAAAAAACCATGGCAACATACATCTGAACGACGCTAAATAAAGGTTTCAATCGACTTCTCGAGTTGCCCGAATGAAGTGCAGCAGGATTTCCAAAAATTTTTAAAAAACATTAAAGTAAGGCCAGCAAAATATGAAAAAAAGTGAGGGTCTCATGCTGCATGGCAGGTCTTTTTGTATACATACAGTACTACTGTATAAACAATGTTATAAGAGTAGCAAACTGCAAAAGGCCTTTTATTAAAGAAGGCAACAACTTTCGGCATAGTACAACGTGTGCTCTCCAAAAATCAAAACCAATGCAAGTTTTAAATTATATTAGAGGAAAACGTCCTGCATTTGCACAGCACGTAAATGTATGATATAAGGTTTGCACGAAGGAGAAGCTGGTATATAGTACATACCAGTCATTTTTATGTACATGCTCCGCAATGCTAAGGTTTTAGACTTCATGTATGATTTCTCAACAAACTGCTCATAGTTGTTCACGAGTTGCTCCAATTGCTGACTTTCAATACTGTCAATGAGCGTGCCATTCGCAAAACAATCAGCCACGTTTTGAATGGATGTTAAAACACTCTCTTTTTGCTGATCATCGATTGAATCCAATTATGCGTCGAATCGAATACGTTGCAAGGCTTCATACACCAATTTATGACACATAATTGATCGCTTGTAGTGCTTTCTGGACATGACACCTCTTATTGATCCAACGCTGATAATTTCCGATTCAATGAGCACATCCTACAAGGAAATTGAGTACAATGATGCGACTTGTAAACCCAATGTTAAATATGACAAACATGGCCTCCTGCTGTTAAACAAAATACATTCTAAATTGTAAAATTTTATTGTAAAGAAATACTCGTTCACTTGAAAATAGTGAATTTCTAAGAAAATCTAGGCAATTACCTTCAAACTAACATCTTCGAAGAGTTTTCTTATAGCAGAAAGGTAGCTTATGCTGGCATGAAAATCTCCTAGTGTAACAACAAATCGGTCATAAAAAAGCCGTTCTTTCCACCTAATATGTTGTATTTTAGCATAAACTGCTTTATCAAACACAAGGGCAGCTTGCTGCAAACGTAATTTTTTTAATTATTCTTATGGCAGACTTTAGCACTTCATTTAGAGTTGAGTATACTGTTGGGGAGGCATCTACTATTGGAAGATAACCAACTCTTGACGCATTAGGTATGGTATTTTTTGCAGTATAGTGTTGAATCCGGACCATCCTGGCCAGAGGTTGTCTTCATCAGCAGTAAAATATTTTATCATGCAGTACGCAAGTTTCAGTTTTCGACACTTGAGAGGAAATTCATTGCTATCCAGAGGCTGCATATCTGACTTGTCTAGGGTATATCTATCAAATGTGGGAGTTTTCTTTATAGCAATACATAAGTTGTAATAGCTACTAGAGGTGCTACTACTGTACATTGGTTTTTCTTAATTTTACTTGCCATTCTCTTGTAGGGCATTCAAGCTTGTGAAACGTTTCCGTCACAACTATTTGGATGATGATACCTGTTTTAAACAAGAATATGTCAAATTATCAAAAAGCTTCTAGAATAAAAAAGTTTTGCATAATTTGAAGCTGTTCTAATTTAAACTGGTAATAAGACGGATATACCATTTGTCACATGTGTTTGTTTTTTAGCACCTTCTTGAAAATTGATATTATCATACACATGGGTGATACGCTTTCCCTCTACAAAATATTTGGGGATAGTATTCAAACTATTAATCGTCAATTGGGCAATAGCTCATTCATAAGACATGGTTGATCGTAAAGATACGCAATGACCAAGACGATTAAGTAGTGTAATTAAGCTGGAGCAACCAGAAATTTGTCGAAATGCCATGGCTAATGACAAAGATTTTGGAGTCTGCACTTTCCCACTGCTGAAAATATATATCAAATCTTGGCAGATAGAAAATACATTTAAAGCTTGCTTTTCCTGTATTTGAACATAACCAGCTCGTTCTGGCTAATCAGAAAAGCCAAACAGCCATGCAATAAAGTTAAATACTATTGGTGACACTATTTTTTTCACGCTCTCCAAAGTAATATCAGAAGCTAGTGGAGGCCATGTATCATACAAGGATACTGGATTCGTGAATTTAAATTTCTTTCTTAATGCCAATGCAACATTATGAATTGCATGCAACGTATTGCCTGCCCTGTATACTTTATCTGGCAAGAACTGTTCAGGTTCCTCACCATCATCGGAAGTTTCTGTTGTCACTTTATCAGCAAAAGGAATATTCTCTACTATCGAACTAGGTTGAATGCAACCTGAGTAAACCATCTCACTTTTGTTACGCTGTTTAGGGGTTTAAAATATTGGTTGTGGAAACCGTTTTTTCATTCGTTGCTTTAATCGACTTGTTTTATAATTCGTTGCATTTACATTTTCAACACTTGCAACAAATTTAACAAACTTTTCTTTAAACTTTGCCATGTAGAAAATACTTTCTTCTTGTATTATGTGCACTTTAATGTACTCTTCACAAATAGCAGTAAACCCTTCATTGTATAATGGTTTTTGAGTGGATTTTTCACATTCAGCAGGGTCAACTTTATGATGTTTGAGGAATGAAGTGTATTTTTGATAATATCTGAGATGATACTTTACTTCTAAAGCAACAAAGTCTTTTCCTCTAATGTCTAGCAAAATACTTTCATCACCCTTAATTTCTGCTGCTTTCCTAAGTCGACCACCATCTAGCGTTCTTGCTGTATAAAGTGGATCCCGTTTCCACTTCTTACTTATCTAAATAAAAATTGTGTGAAAACTGATATAGAATTAGCATAAAAATTTTCCACATAATGGATTAAATTCACAGAAGTGGTGGCGCCAAGAATTCCCCGACAGAGGGGCTTAGGTTCCCGATGGGGGACTGACTTACTTGGCTTGTGTGACAATGCGCTTTCCATGCAAATCTCTTTTTTTTAGAGAAGATTTCAAAAAATTATTATAAATCCTTGCTTTAACATAACATATAAGTTTGTCTAAGAAATAATAATTTACATCTACATGAAAAAATAACATCACGTAATAGACTAGTAATAGACTAGTTGTTAGAGACGCCACTAGAATGCTAATTTGAGAGATGATGGTGTTCACTCATGTATACATTTGTAGCTGATTTCAAACTTAAGCAGTAGAGGTATTTTGCATTTTTTTTACAAAAAATTCCCTATCCAAATTCGAAAGTCGAGTTGCAAAAAAAACCTTCTGTCCTCCAGCTCCCTACTATAGTGCCACCCGTGCTGGATTTACAGCTACGTTTACCTACCGTGTCAGTGTAGTATGAATGCTCTTTCTTGCAAATGAAAAATGTTGGAGGTAACACGTGCCGGCTCTTTGCCTTAATTATTTCACCAGTGATTGATTTTGATCGCAGCATCTGGAGGTGTTCCTTCCTGCTGTACAGACGTAAAAGGCTCGGTATCGGTTGCCGTTTTTGCACTCTTTTCAGAGCGTCGTTGTGCTCGATGTATTATAGTTTTATTCGTAAATGCTGAATAACAACGTGAATGGTAAAAGTAACGCTCGTAACTTCCCAAGTTATCCTCCAACTCCTCGACAGGAATCACATTTGTGGTTTTCAAGGCTACGTCTTTCTGTCATCTATCAAGTTGTAGCCATTGCTTTCTGCATTCCAGGAACCGTTTAAACGATGTTGATGTGAAATTCGTCAGTGTTTCGCGGTCATCTTCGCAATGAATCAAACACGAATGCCTTTCTTCCATGTTTATTAACAAAACATTGGTGCTATTTTAATGTATGAATGTTAAATGAAGCTATGTTTTGTATGCTACATGAAGTTCCGCACCAAAAAATGGCAATTTTCGAAAAACGTTTTTCTATGTATCTTAATGATTGGATTTTTTCCTTTTACGGAAAGAGATGACCAAGCATCAAATTGAACTTTAAAAAGATGAGAAAATATCAGCAAATCTTGACGAAACTAAGCTTGATGATAAATAATTAAAACACTATAGATATTTTGATTTTCATATAATATGTACATGCAATAAACATATATTAAAGATAAATACTTTTGTCGAAAAACTTTATTGTCGCTCACACTTATGTAGAAATGTATAAAAACTAGATTTTAGTACAATGGTGACCTTAAAAGAAGTTTTGTCTTAAACTTTCCACTTTTCGAATACTTTTTTTATCACAAACTTGCGTTTGTGTGATTTATAGTGGGAATTCGTTTACAGAAATTTTAATTCAAAAGGATTTTTTTCTCAATACATTCGTTTGTTAATGTTTATTATTTAGATATAATAAAATAATCAAACAGTGAGAAAATCGTTGAGGTTTATCATTGTTTGTTACACTTTTTACTATATACAGCAAATTTTGTATTTTTAAAAAAACAATTAAATAATTAAACATTATTAAGGAAAAACATAAATTAACAATATATATTTACAAATCAAAGTATACTTTTATTCTAAACAATGAATTAACATATAGCTGAGTAAACAAATAGGTAATTAGACATATTTCAAAATTGTTTTTAAATCAAGGAACGTTTATGTGAAAGGAAAGTGCCAATATGAATAAATTTTTCACTTAATTTTTTCATAAAACTTATGAAAGTTTAAATAATAAACTTTAAATCAGGAAGTGGAATGCTTATATATATGCATTAAGAGTCCGAGCTCAAGTCGGAGTCAAAAGTACAGTTCAAAAAGTTTACACTTCTCCTTTTCCAATGCTTAACTAAGATATTTGAAACCTTCATCACCTATATTTTTACCATTAAAATACAAATTAGTAAGCTTACAATTCTCACTTTTGAATGCTTCACTAAGATATTTAGCAACTTCATCACCCATATTGCTGCCATGCATTACCAACTTAGTAAGTTTACAATTCTCACTTTTCAAAGCTCCACTAAGATATTCAGCACCTTCACGACCTAACTGGATATAATTAAGACACAATTCAGTAAGTCTACAATTCTCACTTTCCAATGCTTCACTAAGATATTTAGCACTTTCATCACCTATATTGCTGCCACTCATTATCAACTTAGTAAGTTTGCAATTCTCACTTTTCAATGCTTCACTAAAATATTTAACACTTTCTACACTTTCTACACTTTCTTTTTTTCTTTTCCTGACTTTCGCCATCAATTTATAACCTTGGTTATATTTAAAACACAATTCAGTAAGTCTACAGTTCTCACTTTCCAATGCTTCACTAAGATATTTGACACTTTCTTCACCTATATTGCTGCCATTCATTTCCAATTCAGTAAGTTTACAATTCTCACTTTTCAATGCTTCACTGAGATATTCAACACCTTTATCACCAATGTTGGTAGCAGTTTCTACCAACTTAGTAAGTTTACAATTCTCACTTTTCAAAGCTTCACTAAGATATTTAGCACCTTCATCAGCTATTTTGCTGCCTCTCATTGCCAACATAGTAAGTTTACAATTCTCACTTTTCAATGCTTCACTAAAATATTTAGTACTTTTATCACCTATATTGCTGTCTCTCATTTCCAACTTAGTAAGTTTACAATTCTCACTTTTCAATGCTTCACTAAGATATTTAGCACCTTCATCACCTATATTTATTTTAATCATTAATAACTTAGTAAGCTTACAATTCTCACTTTTCAATGCTTCACTAAGATATTTGACACCTTCATCACCTATATTACTGCCAGTCATTACCAAGTTAGTAAGTTTACAATTTTCCCTTTTTAATGCTTCACTAAGGTATTTAGCACCTTCATCACCCATATTGCTGCCACACATTACATATTCAGTAAGTTTACAATTCTCACTTTCCAATGCTTCACTAAGATATTTAACGCCTTTATCGCCAATGTTGTTATCAGTCAATTGCAACTCAGTAAGTTTACAATTCTCACTTTTTAATGCTTCACTAACATATTTAGCACCTTCATCACCTATAATGCTGCCACGCATTACCAACTTAGTAAGTTTACAATTCTCACTTTTCAATGCTTCACTAAGATGCTTCCCAAAATAATTGCCGAAACTACTTGATTCAAAAGTTAAACTAATCAAATTTTTTGCTCCCTTATTTAACAAATAGTTTTTTATTGGAAGAGAGGTATGATTATCAAGAAACTTGCAATCGTCAAAAGAAAGACGTGTTATGTGTTCACATTCAGAAAGAAATTCAAACAATGCGTTTGAATCAACAGGCGTAAAAGAAACTTTATCAATCTTCACTTCTTGAGAAAGATGCTCTAACTCCGTGCAAGCTGACCTTATGACATCTTTGTTTTGCAACTCGTTTAGGCATTTTACTCCAAGAAAACCAAGGACTTTATCTCCAGTGCTGGAAAATAGGTTTGAAATCCATTTTTTAAATCTACAAATTTAAAACACAAATATTATTTTCAAGCCGGTTTTTTTTGTTCAAGAAAAGGTCGTAGGCTATGTAGCTAATGTTGCATGACATGAATTTGATTTGTTAATGCAACAATTCAAGGCCCGTTTGAAACATCGCAATTTACATTTGCTAAATGCATTCGAAATAGAAATGATGAAAAAAATCCCCATTTTTTTTGTTTGAAATAAACGGGTTAAAAATCTGAAGCAATCATTTAGTAAACAAATTAAGGATTAAAGTAGGCGGTGAAATTTTAAAAAACAAATTTTGTTCAACATTTGGCATGTTACATGCACCTATATTGTTTAAAAATAATATTTCAGTGTTTTCTATTAAAATCATTGACACCAGTCACTTAACTTTTTTCTTAAAATCAAAGGAGCGCTTCGCATCAATGATATTAATCCTGATCTAAATGTTAAATTTACCACTGGCTATAGAACCATCTTATCATCATATTTAATATGAATAATTTGATAAATGTAATTTAATAAAGATCCCATTCTTAATACTAACCAATCTGCAAGAACGATGACATTTTCATACTGTCGAAACGTGTTTTCTTCAAAAAATAATTTTCCTTATTATATGTTATTTAGGCTTTCTGCTACTTAGAAATTCATGCACGAAGATTATGTGCAATAAAAATGTACTATGAAAAAATATCATAGTGTTTTTTTACAAAAAATTGCTTTGATAATGCCTTTCGTAAAGATGATAGGAGGATTTCCGACAGTGGCTAAGTAAATTAATAAACTCCGAGTAATTTTGATAAATGTTTAGTTTTCAAGGTAATGTTTGTAAATTCCAAACTACTTTTTAATGTAAAAGTCAAATTACTTTTTTCAACAGACCATACGAACGATATGTTATGATTTAATTTCATTCAATACTCATTATTTATTTTAAAAATATTGAGCAGTATATTTAGCAGACGTTGACACCTGAAGAGTAGTCTGCCGAAATGCATCGTGTCGTATAGTTTCATAAAATTACTTTTAGAACTATTTGGACTAGTGCTCTTTACTTAAAACAGTTCTTTTAAGAGATACTAACTTATTAATTTCACCATTCTCCATAGTATTTGCTATCTTTAAAGCGATTTTCAAATTTGTCACCATGATAAATTCTCTATTTTATTATAAACTAATATGCACAATTATCTAACCTAGTTTCTGCTAAAGCATAGGGCACCACTAATGGCTAACTGATAGAGACCCACCATGGCTGTGTTACGACACTGAACTCAATCCCCCCACAAAATCAGACAATATTCTATTGACAGATACATAGACTCAATGATTTTGTTGTGATTTTGAGGGATCAAAATTAGGGGGTGAGGGTTTTTGGCTGTTGTTGAATCTACCCACAATATCTAATTTTTAGAAATACCACACCTCTTTTTTGCGTTTAGAACCCTTATATAACAATTGTCTCGAAAACATGTGTGTGTGCGTGTGTGTGTGAGGGAGGGAGAGAGAAAGAGAAAAGAAAATATGACTGAAGTCAGCCATTCACTATATTTTGTAAAATTTATAATTGGTGTATACAGCATGATAAGTTTGTAACAGGAGCACACACATCAGAAAATGAGAATAGAGTGGCAAATGAACAGTCTAGAAAGCCTTTAAAAGAAACTGAACGGGCTATAATTAAAATCTCATATGATTAAGGCTAAATGTAGAAATCTAGTACTTTAACAATATTCTTCTCAATTTAGTTAAAGTATGCAAAACCTTTTAAATCTTATCATCCTGAGGGCTCTAACGCATTTCAATATGGTTAGAAACCATATTTATTTTATGATTTCCCTTAACTTAGAAAACCAGAACGCTAAGAAAACTAGACTTCATTCTCTTCACCTGAAATTATCCATCCTGATGTGTCATATTTTCTGGTATGTTTTTAAAGATAATCAGATGGAGTCCTATCGCCTATTTTGTCCTCCTGGAGAACAAGCAATTTTGGGCAGATGCAGAGAATGAGTAATATTTTTGCCTTTACTCTTCAACAAGAAGGGCACTGAATATATAATGCTGGATAATCAACACTCAGTGAATTATTATCTGTCTTTACACTGCTAAGCAATAAAAAATTTCGTGGTAAGTTCGGAAATTTTCGCTTTACAGGCCAGAGGAAACATTGCCAGTCGCTCTCATCAAAGAGTACTACACTTACGAGGCTCTCAAAATAAATTTTTTGTTAGTTAATAGAAAGCCATGATAACGTTTCTACATATACTGCCAGGTGGTAATAACTCATATATGCATTTGTATTTGCTGCTCACAGTACAGCAGCCACAACATTTAGTCTGGTAATTCGCAGATGGTCTATACTCTGTCCTAATATTCCATTGTAAAGTATGACAAGTGCATGAAAATGTCAAAGCAATCAAATTTAACGTAGAAGACAAGAAAATATGGGAGGTGAGTGTCATCTCTAACAACTATGGTAGATTTTGATTTAGCAGATTCATATGTTGTTTTATCAATTAGTAAATCAGCGTCATCATTTTCATGATGCGTCTTGCAACCATGTTCTTTTAGATAGCAACTTGAAGAAACATCTGCTTGTTTTTTGGTTTGATAGGAAGAGATCTGTTTTGAAACTAACCTTCATTACTGAAGTTAAAGATATCAGTGTAGCTATCTTTTCTAATGGCCTTCTCATCTGCGTTATCTGCTTGGCAGGTGTGCTGTCTAAAACCCGTTAATTAAAATACGTAATGACAATGTAAAGACGTACGACAATATAAAGACGTACTTCTCTGTAGGTTGCAGACGCTGGAGATGTCCAAGGTAGTCTGAGCAAAAGTGCTCCCCTGTTTAAAACATATTGGAAGTTTTCTTCACTAACTGAGCTTTCAGCTTGGGTTTTATTAAGAAGTCTAGACAAAATGGCATCACCGAAAACTGGCTTGTTAGGTTGCACTAGCATCAAAGAAGAATCAGAAAGGGACGAATGATACGTACACAGTTCATAGCAAAGAGTGATAGGAGATCAATTTGCACTTGCATGTCACCTATCTTTAGAGGAGATTTGTAGCCAAAGTTATAACATGGCTTTTTCCGTTGAACTGGTACTCGAAAGGCGACGTATTCTTCATTAATGAAAGAGTCTTTTTTCCCACCGTCTTTGCCTTTGTCCATTGACTCTAAATATGATATTTAATTCTTAACTGTGGGTCTTGATAAAATGTCTTATGCTCTTGAAGGACAGTAAAGATTTTCAGAGTATCCTTTTTCTCTCTCTTTTTTCTTGCATGAGTAACATCCTTATCCTGTTCACCAGAGCTATAGTTTACACCTGTGTACTCTTGCATTAACCGACTGACTTCAGCAGTATCAGGCATCGCCAGAAGCCATGTAAGCCGTTGTTGCTCGGTCATACATCTCCCAACAATAAATCGCCGCTGACCTTTAAATTACGCATCAACACTTATTCGATGATAAGGTATGTCTATAGGCCTGTCCAGTGTCTATTACTCCGTCTGACAATATGGAGCCCTGAATTAAAGCCTTCTAAGACTTCAGATCTATCTTGCTCAAGACAATTCACTGAATGAAGGTATTAACGTGCATGTTTAACGTACAGATTGCACATAGCTGCTTCAAGAAATTGAAAGTGCAGATGCCACTTGCCTAATCGCTCTGTTGTGATGAAAGCACTAAGTATAGCAACCATTTCCATATATTGTAGCAAGAAATGCGAGCTACGTCTGCGCTCCTTGAGTATTGCTTTAGTTCTGTTTACGTATTCACTATTATAAAGTGTAATATGGAACATTACAACTAAAATGGTTGCCGAAACTATGTACAGAAATAAGAAAAGCAATTTAGCCAGTCAATTGATTATTTGATATAGATTGCTAACAATCAAGTAATTCTATTTTACAGACTCCTTGCATAACTGCTAAACCTCATGCATTGAACGTTTTTGTCTATATTATCATATAAAAAATTTATGATCTAGCCTTTAATTGCATCATTCATAAAAAATATTTATAACTGAATAACACTAATGAATGATAGATTATATAATACAAATATTTATTTCAATGTAAGAGCCTTGTCCTGGTCGTAAAGAACGTGATTTGCCACATACCTATTACTTCCCCATAATTCGGCTAAAGCGTTGTGTGGCTTAAATAATACACAACAGCTGTTGTATATTATGCACCCTACGCTATGGACTAAGGAAGAGGCCTTAGCCTTTATACTTTTTTTAGGTTGCGGCGTCAATGATAACAGCGTTAGAGTCAAATTGCAAATTTAGTAAAAAAAGGCAACAACTTTGTTTTGAACAGACAGAGCTCTTATAAAAATCAGCGACATTTTTAAAACTGTAACAACATTTTGCAGAAGAACATAAAGTTATGCCCAGGGGCGGATGTAGGGTATGTCAAATCAGTCACACGACTGACGTTTATAGTTCAAAAACTATTTATCAAATTTAATCATTTCAATTTTTTTGATTATTAAATTTTCGTTCTGTAATAGTTTGGATTTCATCGTCAAAATTCTGTTTTATGTATGAAAACTTATACAAATACCACCTCATTAAACAGATCAGTAGATAAATCCATATCTAGAATTATATCAACCAGGTGACTGATAAGCGGGGTGGCTCGACTGGTTCGATCAATAACGCAGCTCAAGAATGCTTATTCAAGCCAATCCATTGGTCAATAGCCAGATCAGTGGATGATCTGGAATAACCTCGACCAATAAGCGGGGAGCCCAGACCTATAAGGGAGTCCAATTGCTATTGTGTAATTGGTTGGTTTACATTTTTGTCTTACTGTGGTTGGTTTGACCGATTTCGACTGATTGCGAACTGAACTAACATAGTCAAGCTCACTGTCTGAATTGATTGTTTGATTGCTTCATAACAATTCTTAAGCATGATAGAAACTAAACTACAATCTGATGGAATTCATGGAAATCTTTTACAAATTCATATATTGACATGAAGGCTGCTGTCGAAACTGTGAATTTTTTCAAGAGGGTGAAAAATTTATGGAAAATTGTAAATGCTTGGCAAAGACGATCTCGCGAAAGACATTTCAGTCATTGATGTTCAAAAAAAAGCCAACATCGTTTTGAGTTTTATCAGCAGAGATTTACATCCAAAATCGTAAGTAAAGGACAAGTGAAGTGTGTACATGAATATGATATATCAATGCCAATTTATGCGAGTGTGTGATGCGATTTATGTTGTTGCCGAAGGACTTTTAGCTTTGATTTCTTTAGTGCTTGAGGAATCGTGGCCGTTATATGGCAGCGAAATCCTACATTCCTCCAAATATATTTCAATGAACAAAAAAAAACTGTAGCCATAAGGCACCATACTATTATTTACTTTATCATAAACAAATGTTCGGGCTTTTCAGTTTATGATCATTGATCATTCAATCATTGGACAATTATACTACACATTGTTTAAGATTTGAGAATATTAACATTGATTACATGAAAAGCTGTTTACTATAACCTGTGGTTTTGAGTTTTCTAATCAATGAAGCTTGTTATTTTGACAATTTGAATGGAATGGTATTAAATCTTAGTATTTCACATACATGAAATGTTGTCCCATGTCACATATTGTCCCCTTTTCTAACTGAACATCTCATGTAAAGATGTCAAGGTGTGTTTATCTACGGCTCATACTAGATTGTTTGCCATAAATTCCAAAGGGCTATAGATGTATGAAAAGCATTTTCTATAAAGTAAAAATGTCTTCCTATGTATGCAGATAAACTTTGAAATTTAACAAAACAGCAAAGTATTTTTTATGATCACTAGGTAATTTTTCTGATGATCATTACAGTTTCTAAACTAAATTATTTTAGATTTAACCTTAACCGGCTTTGATCACATGAAAAGATATTTATAATAACCAGTAAGCTTGACACATGAACCAATTTTCACATTCATGTAATTATATAATTAAAGACATGTTGGTTACATTCATTATGTATTTGCAAATACAATGCTACTAGTGATTGCTATAGAGCACACCTTGCATATACTTACAGAAGATACTAGTCTAGTTAAATGCCTAATAAACATTAATGGCATTAAGCTGTCCTTAATTGCAAATTTTCACCGTCATAATTTTTGCTTAATCTTAGGCAGAAAAAAATTTTAAGTTTTTTTCTCAAAAGGTGAATTTGCTGGCACTGATGTGGAGATGGGTAAAGGGTTACAATAAACTTGCATTGTTTGAAGTCTGAGCTTTTCTATATCTATGAACTTTTCCTTGTAGTAACAAATTTCTAACTTAACTCGTTACATAGAGATTTGAATGGGGGTCTCTACGGGGGTCTATGCCTGACAACTTGGTAGAAATTTTTAAACACTATATCTGTTTTTGAATAGCATTATTGTAAAATGAATTTTACGTTCCTAGACATGCTAATGAGCCACATATTTGGCATGATAATGAGCCTAAATATTTAGCACACATTCAAGTATTGTTCACTTAAGCAAAATGTGTTGTTTTTATGCAAAATAATTGCCCACAGAATGCATTTTGTATTGCTCTAAAACGCTGAAAATGGCTTTTCCAAGGCTCTGAAATTCACAATTTCCCAAAGGAGAATACCTCGGACAGCTCCCCCAGTTGCAGATTGCCTCTGAGGTTTTATGACTGATGTTTGAAAAATATTACATTTGCCCCTGGTTATGCCTTATATAAATACATGCCAAATTTATATAAAACTGCGGCAATTTCTTATAACAATCACGCAACAACTTTGTGCATATGTAGTAAACGTAGTTAGTGCTCCTGCGCTTCCTGTCCAGCAGGACTAAAAACTGTGTAAAACAAACTCAAAGAAAACAATAACCTAAATTAAACTAAAAACAAAAATAAAGACCCTACCGTTTTTCAACATCTTCTACTGTAGTATCTCTGATATCTCCAAGTTTCTTTTTGTCTCCAACTAAACCAGCCACAAACTGTATCACCAAGTGCCATTTAGGATCAACTTTATTATCATGAAAAAACTGTGCAATTTTGCCACATTCATCTACAATACATTGTGCAGCCAGAAACTCTTGAATAGTCAAATGTAGGAAACAGTACAGGAAGCGTTTTGCATCTGGTATACGGTGAAATATACCGCAATTTGCTACCTCATGAAAAGCAGTATTACTACTTTTTTCAAAAATCAAATTTCCTTCAGTAATTCCACTAACTGCAATATCTTTTATTTTGTTTATATCTTCCTTAAGCTCGGGCGGCAAAGGAGCTATCAGATAATCAGTTTTTCTAGGTATTTCACCTGATGTGCAAAGTGGATGATGCTTCCATAGCAAGACTTTGATTGCTCTGTTATATAACTCAGTGATGGTCTTTGGAATGTCTTCAGCCTTGCATGTCAAGCTTTCTTTTAGGGTCAGACAAACAATGTAACTATTCACAGGAATATAACACAAACTTTTAAGTTCAAGCGAAGTGTCAATGTGCTCATAAATGTTTTTGGCTGTATTCTTGTCTTTACCACAAAACTTGTCGACGTATTCTTTAATCTGATCTTCAAAAAACCCCAAGATTTCCACAGTCCTTTTAAAGTTTAAACATCCATATGTATGTTCAGCTGTGGATCGTGATGTTACTAAAACAGTGGCATCAGACAGCGTTTCACCTTCAACTAACTTTTTTATTAGTTTAAATACAGGCCTCTTTGTTTTATGGAACTCTGAACGATTTAAAAATAATTCATCGAGTCCGTCGATTATAATGACAGTTTGTTTTGGATAAGTGTTTATGAATTCGTAAACTTGAGAAAAATGTTTATCTTTTAGTCCATCACACCGCTTCAACATTTTTTTGAGAGTAGTGTCGCAAGTTTCAAGATCACGACATTTCACTAAAATAACAAGCTTATCTTGCCAAAATTCATCTCGATTATTTTTCCATTCGTATAGAAGTTTTTTAGTCAGCATAGTTTTACCAATTCCCGGCCTTCCAATGACTAAAATAGATCTTGGATACGACGTGCTCTGCTCACCAAGGATTGGCTTAAATATCTCAGTTACGTTTGTTAGTTTTTTTGCATCATTGCTCACTTCAAGGTAAGAATGAAAGATTTCATGCCGATTGTAGGCTTCTGGGTAAGCATTCTTTAATTGTCTTTCTGCTTGTATTATGACGTTGACATAAATATTATCAAAATTTCGCCACTCTGTCATCTCACCACCAAAGTCGTCGTGTATTTTAAACACACTGCTGCAGTAAAGATCGCCTTTATTTTCTTCCAAAATTTTTGTACGTTCACCTTTATTTTCTTCTAACGATTTTGTACATTCGCCTATATTTTTTTCTAACGATTTTGTACATTCGCCTTTATTTTTTTCTAACGATTTTGTACATTCGCCTTTATTTTCTTCCAACGATTTGGTACATTCGTCTTTATTTCCTTCCACCGATTTTGTACATTCGCCTTTATTTTCTTCCAACGAGTTTTTAGGTTCTTGAATTAGTACAAAATTCAAGTAAACTTTACAAAACTTATCCTCTTTTTTAAAAGATTTATCAGTGCAAGCCTTATACGTCAAATAAAACAGCTCTAAGATGGTTAGTGTTATTACAATTAAATTGACAGATAAAACAATTATAATTAAGGCTTGACTATAATCGGCGTTGGGATTTTCGCTCTCAATGGTAGAAATGGTGTGATTTAACAAGGAAATTTCTATCATAGTTGGACGTCTTTTACAAGTGTATTCGACGGGAAACTTTGCAAAGGAAAGTAATCCAACAAAGACAGACAATATGATGAAGCGAACCACCAAATGAACGATGTAAATGTAAAATGAAGAATTAAATGCAACGTTGTCAGATTGATAAGTTCCTTCGCTATATTCCACATCTAGAAGCTCACTTTGTTCGTTACTGTTTTCTATTGGACTGTTATTAGCATTATGATCAACTCGATACTTTACACAATATCCATAGACGATACTCAAAATTAAAAAAATGCCAAAATTAAAAACTACGATAAGAAAAACGTCATACTTAAAAGTTAAACCATGTTTGTATTGTCTGAAACATTTTGATTCAATGTTCTTTAAAAGAGAACTTTCTTTCGTCTTTGATATAATCTCATTATGACAATCAAATGAAGTGTCACCATATAAATTTAATGCAATACCAGAAACGATAAAGCCAATTGAACCAAAGACAATAAGTATTATTCTTCCCAAACGGTTAAAACTGCTCCATGGTATGTGTTCAAGACACTTTTCCATTTGTATGCTTAAAAAAAGTATTACATTACTTTAAATTCAAAATAAGACAGTAGCATTGGCGTTCAGGATTGTATTCAGCTTGCAGATTTAATTTCGCTACTTAAATATTTAAAGATTACCATTATTCATTCTTAAGAATTCTATTGTTCTCACAGTCAGTGAACACTAAAACATTTGCATAGCAAGAGCAAAATGTCGGGCTGGCTACGCTACTGCTGACGTTACCCACAGCTCTAGGTACAAAGTCGCATGCAAAATTCCAGTATTGTATATACCTCATGTAATTATCCATTTCATGACTATCTTACATTAAGATATACAGGAATTTTAGTAGACACATCCCATAGTCATAGCAATAAGTGGTGTTTTGTAATCAAATAAAGTGTACAATTATGTTCTTTCGCTGTCGCGTATAACAAGTTAGAAAACTTGAGGGTAAAGGATATTCAATATTAAAAATAAATTTCCCGATTTGTTTATGTAATAGCATGGTTTCGATTGCAATTTGGCATAAACATGCACGAATGAGTTTTTCAAAGGCTTCCATCCTCTTAACTAATCAGAATTGTGAAATTTTTTCATGTATATTATTACTGGAGGAAAAGGCATTAACACTTAGCTCTTACTTTATACATCCCTATGATTCTATTTACATTTGAAACAAAAAACAACAACACAAGAATCGGTCACAAAAGCTCCATACGATGTACTTTCATGTAAATTAATATTATGCATTTGACTTCAGTTTAGCTCAGCTTAGCTCGAATTAACATCTTTCAAAATAATAAAGGTCATTCATTAAATGGTTTTCTGTAATATTTCAGACCAGATTTAAATCACATCAATTATGTTAATTATATCAAAAGGGTAGGAAAAATGGACGGTATTTTTTTTCACTCGGATATTTAATTAACAGGTCGTGTATTAAATTTTCAAAACAGCTCACATAACGCAACACAGCAAGAAATGAAAAGATAATTGTACAAACGGAACCTTAAATGTTCTCTAACCTTTGTTGTAGACCATTTGCTCTATACTTATACGCTTTTTTTTGTACTAATTAAGTCGGTTTTCAAATTGCAAATTTTTGCGCCAAAAGCGATAGATTTCGAGTTAAACAATTTCGTGCAACTGGATATATTTGTTTTCTACGTGCAAAAATTAACTCACAAAATGCAAAAAAATCAAAGAAAAATGGCCGAATCGGACAGTAACTAGAGTACTTACTTGAAATAACGTGTTATGATTCTCATTGCTGCAAAGACGACCAAAACAAGAAAGCAAACACAACAATGGTTTTTTTGTACGTCGTTTAAGTTGTAATGGTAATGAAATGGAGAATTTCATCTGCTCGTGAGAGAACTTTGTATTTACAACATATAATATGCTTTTATGAATATCGTTTGTTTCGTATTTCATCCGAGAAATTGCTTTCTCAAACTTAGTTGTCTGTAAAGTATATTTGTAGGATGATATGAAATTTCGATCGTTTTCCAAGCAAAAACTCCTTAACGTCCACCATTTTAAAAACTGAGTACGGCAGACTAACGTGTATGAAAAAATCAAAAATCCACTAAAAAACCTGATTGGCTAGCGACTTATTTTGGCTGCAAAAAATTAAAAATCATAAGAACTCAAATTTTCGTCGAGGCGTGCTGACGTCTTTGCCATTTACGTTGCGGTTAACAGTTCAGGTTTTAAGGGCAGGAGGCCCTTTTTGTTGTAGGTAAAGTACCGCAAGTTTTTTATTGTATTTATTTTAAGAGAGTATAAATCATGAATATGCCTCTTAAGCTATCAACAGAGTTTTGATAAAACAGGAATAACAGCTTCTGGCAATGCAAATTTAAAGATACAAATGCAAAAGTACCTATTAAATTCGATTTTTTCAAAGCAACAAACCTCAATGGCAAATGGATAATTTCGGATTGCCGTTTGCCGGAAACGCTAAACTAAAACTCTTTATTCGCGCAATACAAACAACAATAAGAAAAATACAAATACCATTTGAATATAATGCCCAATTTGGTACAAGTTATAAGAAATAGAAATTTGAACATAATTGAGACAAGTGCAACTCGTAAGGCTTGAAAGGATGAGACACCAAACCTTAGAAGTTGGTGGAGAATATTTAGTCAGAGATTCGGAGATGAAACTCCGAATGAGAGTTTTATCTCCGTAAAAAAATCAGATAGTTTGTTTAATTGGAACTCAAAGTGTTGTTCTATTTTGCGTATGTTATTTTTTTGTTGTAATAAACATCCACACGAATTTTTAAGAATTTTTCAAAGGAAAAACGAGAAATTCTTCAATAAAGTCAGTGCGGACAGGCGTTTACGTAAAAAAATCCATTCGACATGAGAACAATATGCGCATTCTAATTGTCAATAGTTCCCTATTTCTTAACTGTATGTAGCCTCCTCAAAACATTTGGCGTCAAAGTTTGTGAAGATTACCAATGGAAACGAAAGATAATTCCAACATTACTAAAATTAGTAAAATTCTTGTAACAAGCGATACTTATGTATAGCAAATATAAACCGATTTACATCGTACTTTTAACTTGCTTTGTTTAAACACTCTACAAATCCTATGAAATTAAATAGGCGCAGAACTGTTAAAAAACCAATTTTTAAAGACATAATTTGGTAAAGCAAACACGCTAAATAAGCAAATGAAAAAAAAGCATTTAGCAGAGTTCGTCATCAGAATAAACCGAAACAAAACACAATTGCAACACAAATAAAGCGAATTTCCACATTCAGAAACTATACATTTGACGAGCAGTACAAGTTTACAGCAATAGTAAGCCGATTTACTGACAATATTTCCATACTTTCAAAACGACTGAAATATGTATCCTAATTAGACTATAGTCTCATGATTTCTAACAAACAAATTCAACATCCTTAACATACTAACACATCATCACAAACATACCTTGTTTTATTTTCACTTAGCAAATCGTTGTTGCTGTTTTGTATTTTTAGCTTCTTTCAATTGCTATTCTACAATACGGTCATGAGTTTCTACAGGTCATCTAAAATAAATATGATTTTATAGTATCAGGCAAGATAAAAATTTATTCAAAGTTTATTAAATGACTTAATATGTGGCGAACAATTACATTATGATGACAATTATGCATCGCAAACACGCATAAAGGATTCTGTGAATTTTGTTTGACAAAACTTTTACTGGTTCACATTCCAATATTTCGTATTTTCCGATATAACGCAATGGCAAGTTATAAGCATCAAACATATCCTTTACGTTGATACGTGGCCAGTGGCAAATTATTTTGTGCCGCGGAATTTAAGTCATTTAAAGAATATATTGTAATACAAAGCAAAGATACGGTTTATGATTTTTATTGTTTTTTTTTATAATTAATATGTTTGATTTCAATTTAGAGCATGTTAATTGATAGGTATAAAAGATTTAAAATCTAATGCATTATCATAAAAAATAGGCTTACTATAGGATTTTCTTTACATTCTCTGCAGTGTGTATATACATACTCATATGCATTTATGTAGTCGATTGCAAAACAAGAAGGATTTGATTCAACATTTGCATATCAGCATGAGACAAATTTTCATTCTTTGTTGAAGACTTTGAGTTCGAGCATATTTATTTTTCATTCTCTGTGCCATATATTTTGAATGCACTTAAAACTGATCAAAACCACTATATAAATAGTTTAAAATCCAAAAGAGAAGTGATATCTCTTTTATTCAGTCGATTGCAAAGCCAGAGTATCTTTATTTATATTAGCATATCAGCGTGAGGCAAGTAATATTTGCTAAAAGCTTGAATAAAAGAAATGAATAAAATTCTTTATATTTAGTGTTAGTGACAAGATGACAATTAAGAGTGAAGCATATCTATTTTTCCATCAATGTCATATCGATTATACTAACTACAAATCCAAATCATTCTACAATGTGTTCGAAAAAAACGGAATCCGCGTAATAATTATGTACGCGGTAAATGAAATCTGCTTGACATAACTTAGTGTGCAATGGAGATTTGTTCTGCATGTTTTATTTAGTTACGCGTTTTTCGATGTTCAAAGAAACTAATGGAAAATATGATCACATTTTCGCGGCTTTATAGTCTAATAAATCTTGCTTTTTTATCTTACGAAGCTGTATTTTTGCTCGCGCAAGTTATAATGAATCACGTATATCGTTGCGTCGATACGTGGCAAATAATTTTGTTCCACGGAATTTAAATTATCTTAAGAATATATTCACTAATTGTTATGAAAACAGAGAAACGTTAATAATTTTGGTTTTTGTTTAGGTATTTATTGTATTATTACATACTGCATGCAGCAAACTTACTATATAGGACTCTTTGCTTTTTATGGGAATGCGTAAATGTATGATATTTTCTCTCGTGTATGTGCATACTCATACAGGTGTAGGGAAAACAATAATTGGGGGGGGGGGTGGGGGGAGGAAGCTCATGTTTATATATGCATGTTATAATCTGTAGAAAACAATGAATTTAAAATACGGCATATTGTGCTTGTATGAATATTCTCTACAATTATCGATCTTTATGTCATTGAATCAATTCACAATGTTAGTCAAGATAAATTCGCTTGTGAGGCATATATATCATTGAATCATATCACAAAGTTAGTGAAATAACACATATTGCACAATTATACAATACTTCTTCAGGTAATCTATATTAAATATACTTTCTGGCATTATAGGAAGATTATATTAATTCAAAATGTACAAAAAGCTTAATAGATAGCAAACAGTTTACATTTATGGACTGATTTATACATCGTAAACACACATAATGATTCAGTTTATTTGGTCTCACAAACCTTTAACTGATTGACGGTTTAAGTTTCAGGTTTTCGCATTTGACGTTCTTGGCAAATAAAGCAATGTACGTATATCTTTTGAGACGATACGTGGCATATTATTTTGTGTCACGGAATTCGAATCATCTTAAGAATGGATTCTTATGTAAAGCATAGACATTGCTTATGATTTTATTGTTTTCCGTATGTTTGATTTTAAATTTGGAGCAAATTGATTGATTTGTGCAAAAAATGTAAGTTTTAATGCTTTATGGCCGTAAAAGGACTTTATGTTTCTGCAGTGCGTATATACTCATTAACTCATTACTTTTATGAAATCGCCAAAAAACATTTGGCAGATTTTGTCACGAAAACCAACGGAAGCGAGAGACATTTGCTACGTCGGGAAAATCTTCAAATTCATAGACCATATATATAACAAGCGATACAAGTTTATATCACTAATGAACGGATTTGCTTACTTTGCTGGTCGATATTTCTATACTTATAAAATGACTCAAATATTTGAACAATTCAACATTAGCTGTAGAATTACTCTTTCAAAATAAATTCGCTTGTGAGGCATATATATCATTGAATCATATCACAAAGTTAGTGAAATAACACATATTGCACAATTATACAATACTTCTTCAGGTAATCTATATTAAATATACTTTCTGGCATTATAGGAAGATTATATTAATTCAAAATGTATAAAAAGCTTAATAGATAGCAAACAGTTTACATTTATGGACTGATTTATACATCGTAAACACACATAATGATTCAGTTTATTTGGTCTCACAAACCTTTAACTGATTGACGGTTTAAGTTTTCAGGTTTTCGCATTTGACGTTCTTGGCAAATAAAGCAATGTACGTATATCTTTTGAGACGATACGTGGCATATTATTTTGTGTCACGGAATTCGAATCATCTTAAGAATGGATTCTTATGTAAAGCATAGACATTGCTTATGATTTTATTGTTTTCCGTATGTTTGATTTTAAATTTGGAGCAAATTGATTGATTTGTGCAAAAAATGTAAGTTTTAATGCTTTATGGCCGTAAAAGGACTTTATGTTTCTGCAGTGCGTATATACTCATTAACTCATTACTTTTATGAAATCGCCAAAAAACATTTGGCAGATTTTGTCACGAAAACCAACGGAAGGGAGAGACATTTGCTACGTCGGGAAAATATTCAAATTCATAGACCATATATATAACAAGCGATACAAGTTTATATCACTAATGAACGGATTTGCTTACTTTGCTGGTCGATATTTCTATACTTATAAAATGACTCAAATGTTTGAACAATTCAACATTAGCTGTAGAATTACTCTTTCAAAATAAATTCGCTTGTGAGGCATATATATCATTGAATCATATCACAAAGTTAGTGAAATAACACATATTGCACAATTATACAATACTTCTTCAGGTAATCTATATTAAATATACTTTCTGGCATTATAGGAAGATTATATTAATTCAAAATGTACAAAAAGCTTAATAGATAGCAAACAGTTTACATTTATGGACTGATTTATACATCGTAAACACACATAATGATTCAGTTTATTTGGTCTCACAAACCTTTAACTGATTGACGGTTTAAGTTTTCAGGTTTTCGCATTTGACGTTCTTGGCAAATAAAGCAATGTACGTATATCTTTTGAGACGATACGTGGCATATTATTTTGTGTCACGGAATTCGAATCATCTTAAGAATGGATTCTTATGTAAAGCATAGACATTGCTTATGATTTTATTGTTTTCCGTATGTTTGATTTTAAATTTGGAGCAAATTGATTGATTTGTGACAAAAATGTAAGTTTTAATGCTTTATGCCCGTAATAGGACTTTATGTTTCTGCAGTGCGTATATACTCATTAAATCATTACTTTTATAAAATCACCAAAAAACATTTGGCAGATTTTGTCACGAAAACCAACGGAAGCGAGAGACATTTGCTACATCGCGAAAATCTTTAAATTCATAGACCATATATATAACAAGCGATACAAGTTTATATCACTAATAAACGGATTTGCTCATTTTGCTGATCGTATTTTCTATACTTATAAAATGACTCAAATATTTGAAGAATTAAACATTTGCTGTAGAATTACTCTTTCAAAGTGAATTCGCTTTGTGAGGCATATATGTCATTAAATCATATCACAAAGCTAGTGAAATAACACATATTGCACAATTATACAATACTTCTTCAGTTAATCTATATTAAATATACTTTCTGGCATTATAGGAAGATTATATTAATTCAAAATGTACAAAAAGCTTAATAGATAGCAAACAGTTTACATTTATGGACTAATTTATACATCGTAAACACACATAATGATTCAGTTTATTTGGTCTCACAAACCTTTAACTGATTGACGGTTTAAGTTTTCAGGTTTTCGCATTTGACGTTCTTGGCAAATAAAACAATGTACGTATATCTTTTGAGACGATACGTGGCATATTATTTTGTGTCACGGAATTCGAATCATCTTAAGAATGGATTCTTATGTAAAGCATAGACATTGCTTATGATTTTATTGTTTTCCGTATGTTTGATTTTAAATTTGAGCAAATTGATTGATTTGTGCAAAAATGTAAGTTTTAATGCTTTATGGCCGTAAAAGGACTTTATGTTTCTGCAGTGCGTATATACTCATTAACTTATTACTTTTATGAAATCGCCAAAAAACATTTGGCAGATTTTGTCACGAAAACCAACGGAAGCGAGAGACATTTGCTACGTAAGGAAAATCTTCAAATTCATAGACCATATATATAACAAGCGATACAAGTTTATATCACTAATGAACGGATTTGCTTACTTTGCTGGTCGATATTTCTATACTTATAAAATGACTCAAATATTTGAACAATTCAACATTAGCTGTAGAATTACTCTTTCAAAATAAATTCACTTGTGAGGCATATATATCATTGAATCATATCACAAAGTTAGTGAAATAACACATATTGCACAATTATACAATACTTCTTCAGGTAATCTATATTAAACATACTTTCTGGCATTATAGGAAGATTATATTAATTCAAAATGTACAAAAGCAATAGATAGCAAACAGTTTACATTTATGGACTGATTTATACATCGTAAACACACATAATGATTCAGTTTATTTGGTCTCACAAACCTTTAACTGATTGACGGTTTAAGTTTTCAGGTTTTCGCATTTGACGTTCTTGGCAAATAAAGCATTGTACGTATATCTTTTGAAACGATACGTGGCATATTATTTTGTGTCACGGAATTCGAATCATCTTAAGAATGGATTCTTATGTAAAGCATAGACATTGCTTATGATTTTTTTTGTTTTCCGAATGTTTGATTTTAAATTTGGAGCAAATTGATTGATTTGTGCACAAAATGTAAGTTTTAATGCTTTATGGCCGTAAAAGGACTTTATGTTTCTGCAGTGCGTATATACTCATTAACTCATTACTTTTATGAAATCGCCAAAAAACATTTGGCAGATTTTGTCACGAAAACCAACGGAAGCGAGAGACATTTGCTACGTCGGGAAAATCTTCAAATTCATAGACCATATATATAACAAGCAATACAAGTTTATATCACTAATGAACGGATTTGCTTACTTTGCTGGTCGATATTTCTATACTTATAAAATGACTGAAATATTTGAACAGTTCAACATTAGCTGTAGAATTACTCTTTCAAAATAAATTCGCTTTTGAGGCATATATATCATTAATCATATCACAAAGTTAGTGAAATAACACATATTGCACAATTATACAATACTTCTTCAGGTAATCTATATTAAATATACTTTATGGCATAATAGGAAGATTATATTAATTCAAAATGTACAAAAAGCTTAATAGATCGTAAAGAATTTACATTTATGGACTGATTTATACATCGTAAATACACATAATGATTCTGTTTATTTCGTCTCACAAACCTTTTACTGGTTGACGGTTTGAGTTTTCAAGTTTTCGCATTTGACATTCTTTCCAAATTAAGCACTGTATGTATATGTTTTGAGTCGATACGTGGCATATTATTTTGTGTCACGGAAGTTAAATCATGTTAAGAATAGATTGTTATGGAAAGCAAAGATACGGCATATGATTTTTATTGTTTTTGTTGATGCAATAGATGACCATAACTTTGGGCAATATTATCAATAGCAAAAAATGTTTATAATAACGCATTATCATAGATTACGTTGGCCCCGTTTACACTATACCGGATTACTATCGTAGCAAGTTGAATTTCCTTTGTACTAAAAGGCAGTGAATTTGTTCAAAGTCAGAAACACAATCAAATGGACTAAATTTATCAACTTAATAAGCCCTTACTCCGAACAGTTACCCCTTTAAAGCAAATGAAGATGTCGTGATGAGCGAATCCGGTATAGTGTAAACGCAGCCATAGTGCGGCTTACTTTAAACATTTGACGTAATTTGCAGTGCATATATATATATTATATACTAAAATGGGTGTATGTTGATCTTTAATTTTTAGAGGGAGTGCTTATACTTCAATATGCATGTTGTAATGCATACAAAACAATGGATTTTAAAATGGCTTAAATTGGCTAATCATGAAAATTTGAGCTCTAGCCTACACAATTATCAATCTTCCGTACGCCCATACAGTTATATGTTCTGATGAAGTCAGTTGCTAAGCAAGAATAATTTGATTCCACAATAGCCAATTAATTTGAGATAAGCATTATTTAATACAAACTTCAATGAAAAGAAATAATCAAATATTCTTTTATTCGGTTATTCTGTGTTAATAATGTGAGGATACGAAATTAAGCCATCATTCACATCGATTTTCATAGCTTTTTGAAAAATTGCTTTGTTCATTTGTGATTTAAAATTTTAGCTGTCTACATCTATGAACTGTCTCTTGTAGTACTAAATTTTTAACTTAACTCATTACATAGAGGTTTGAATTGTGGACTCTAGGGGGGTCTATGCCTGACAACTTGGTAGAAATTTATAAAGGCAATATCTTTTTCCTAATAGCATTATTGTAAAATAAATTTTATGTTTCTAGACATGCCAATGAGCCATATATTTGGCATGATAATGAGCCTAAATATTTGGCCAAACATTCAAGTATTGTTCACTTCAGTTTTTTTTAAAAAAAACGTAAGGAAAATGTGTTGTATTTACGCAAAAACGTTACCCACAAAGTATATTTTGTATTGCTCTAAAACGCTAAAAATAACATTTTTAAGGCTCTGACATTCACAATTTTACAAGGAAAATGCCTCGGACCCCCTCCAGGTGCGGAACGCCTCTGAAATTTTATGACTTATGTTTAAAAAATCCTAGATCCGCGGGGACGCCGGAACAGCAAAAGGGCAGGAGGGACAAGCCTTTGTGGAAGGGCACATTAGTGAAATATAGTAGAAATAATCTAATAGTGATAAACAGCAAAGAGATGTGCTACATGCAATCCGCTGTACAGAAGCACATGTCCGCAGTGTTGGTCGATGAATATGAACGATAATATAACTATTAAGCGATGTAACGTCGCTAATATACAATTTGCCATGTATTGTATTTTCCAAAATATTTAATTCTTCTTTCATTTCTCTGTGAAAACTCTTTGGCAATTACGTCTATTTCTACCATATTCATGTGTTGCTTCTGAATGTTGGAGAACATAATATCATTCAGATGATTTCCTTCAGTGTTTGACCGCAGCCGTGTTTTGAGACGACGCATTACGCTGAATGTGCGTTCGCACGAGGCAGATGAGAGTGGCACTGTGTAGCTCATCTCTGAGCACCTTTTCTTTGCTGACGGCATGGCATTGAATATCTCTGCTATTGTTGGAATACGCGTGACTTCTG